CGGTCTGCCTGGCTCGTCTTCAAGCGACCCAGCAACAAAAAAGACCAACGGGTTCCAATGAAAATGTTGCAGCCGCCTGGACTGTGCTTTTCAGCAAGAATAGGTTGACCTGTTGGTGGCAAGTCCCGCTTGCTGTCCCTCACGACAGGCGTCAAAGTTGCCAAGATTTCTTACAAGCCTGGTCGAGAGTATCTGGAGAGTTGACTTGAAACGAGCGAAGAGTCCCCATCAGCATCATAGGGAAGACCTCCCAAAGAAAGGTGGTAGCGGGACAGCAGCCCAGATTCAGCAGGTTTACAACTTCGGATGTCAAAATTCAGCTGGACTAAGACAAACAAGGGCTCAATTTTCGGAGATGCTCGGAACCCCTTACGCATTCCACTTCGAAAGACTGACAAAGCTTCCATCAGCTGCAAAGCAATGCTCCAGCTACAAAGTACCTTTGCAGCTCTGGAATGGCTCCTCAAGGTATTCAGGACACTCAAAGACATCCAACTGTTGTTACTGCTCATTTGTCGCTGCATTGGCCCATGGCCATCACTGGGCTGCCCACATACTCCACTTCAGCGGCCACCCCAGCCAGCTTCTCGAAAGCCTGAAGTCTCTTTGCGCACAATCCGGGATGCCCACTTGCCATTGATTGAAGCATCCCTCATTGCTAGGTGGAAAACGTACTTTGCGATCAGTGAGGAATGCCATGATGTTCCACAAGCCGCAAAGATCAGACGGCTGGCGTTTGCCATCCTTTCCTCAGGAACAGCAAAGTGTTCATCCAAGCCCATGAGTCGTGAGAATATTAACCTCCAGCGAGCAGCTAGCGGGCTGATCCCATCTGCAGACAGGCCTTCTTTTGCCTGCTACCGAGTGCTAAATGGACTTGTTTCGGAAGATGTCAGCAACCCACCTTCTCCAGACCACCCAACTTGATCTCCCACTTGTCCGGCACGTCCTGCTTGTAGCTAGATTCAGCTGGATCTTTGCAGGCTCACGAACAACTCTGCAGTTTAAGCAGTTACAAAAAGAGCACATTGGGTCCGCCGGTTGGTAGATCCGTCCGCGCAATGCGTTTCGCATGGCATTTGGCTGATCCTCGAGAAACTGCCAAGCTGGATGTTGGTCACCATCCTTGTAAAGCCCCTGACCATGATTTCTTTGAGCATGAAGTGCTTGTAACCCCCCTTCTCAATCTGTTCTAGCCTCGGGAGGCACAGCATAAGGGTACAATAAAACATGCTGGTCTGTGCACCATCGACCAGGCTAGCCGCGACAACTCAAGCCTCACAATAGGGTTTTCTGCCTCAAGCAGTGGCCCGTAGATTACGCACTCCGTTGGGCAACGGCATCTGAGGCAAACACATCCTTGCGGGGACTCCACGAGTTTTTGCCCAAACTTGAGATAATCTTGTGCAGCTCGGAGACCTCTGTCAGGACGCGCACCATAACCTTTGTGGCACCTGCACCTTCTCTTACCCTCAGGCCTTAAAACCAGATCTCCGAACTTCCACGAGCTCGCCCTCCCGCAAGTACACGACATCCTTCACCAAATTTGCTGGGCCATGCGGACAAGAGTTGCAACTGAACTGTGGAAAGCATAGCACTGATCACAAATGGACACCTTCGTGTGCTCGACAATGGCGGAAGCATCGCTTGCAAGCATGTGCTCCCCTTGGCCGACCTTGTTGCATTCCGAGCGGCGCTGTTGAAAAACACAAGCCAAGCATCTTTTCGGCAGACAGCCAGTCTCCCACAACACCAAGCATTTCCGCCTGTTCTCACATGCTTGTCCGTACGCACGCAAGCCCAATGGACATGCGGCCAACACGCAGCTGGCCAGCGACTGAGCTGCATAGAAAATGCTGCTGGTTTTCCCCCCATCTCCCTCCCCGCCTTTTTCCCAACTTCCCATCCCCAAGACGGCGCAGCATTCGTGAAAGCTTGTAACAAGAAATCCAACTCATTACCTTTTGAGGACACCAGCTTTCAAACAAGAACACTGCTGCAGAGTGGTCAGAAAAAGGGGCTTGCTGCTGTAAGCATCTGTGAATAACTGGCAGTGCTACGAGCTTGGTAAGTGCAGCGCTCCCAGAATTAAGGGTGAACCCTTTCGAGCGCCGATGAGCAAGTCTGGCTCGTCCTCTCAACATATGCACAGATTCTCACCAGCCGCAGAAATCTCGAACCCGTGCCGCAGCACCTAAGAGCGTGTCTTTAGTTAGTCAGTCATCTGGATCTGTGGCCCCGAAAGACAAAACATCGAGTGGAACTTGATGCGTTAACGTTGATCGAGGCACAGTTTTTTTTGCTTTACGGCTTAGCTTGAGCTTACTGCGCAAGACAAGTTGATTGAGGCACTGCACTGACTGTTTTGCGTAAAGCTTAGGTTCCTGTCACTGGTGAGACCTTCTTCATAGGGCCGCTTGCCCACGCAAATGGATGATTGTTGCGTCCGATTCGGCTGTTTCGCTGTGGCAGCTTGTCCCACCACAAGCCTCATGCATATAGCGGAGAATTGCAACTGTCGGCAGGCTTCGGTGACTGATGCACCGACGGTGCCTTGGTCTTTCCTGTACAAATCATCAGAATGCTATTGGGCAACAAAAGGCTTACAGAGATCATTGCTTCTGTTGCAAACGAATGTCATAGTTCCTGACAGCAGTCACAATGCTCGCCAGCTTCTGCTGCACCAGGCTGATCTCTTGCTGAAGCTCCACACACCGCGGCTTCCCTTTAAATTTGATGGTTTTGGTGTAGGAGATGTGGTACAGCTTCGCCATTGCGTGCAGCGCTTCCATTTCTGCAGTACTATCGCCCAGAGCAACTAGATTGGCAATTGTTTGCGAGTTTTCCTTCACTTGACAAAATGCTTCCACCTTCCACTGCGTTGGATCGTCTGGAAAGCGATCCTCGAATCTGGCCCTGGCACTGACAATCTCAACGTCTTTGAGATGCTTGGCCAGAGTCGGCAGGTACTTGTCTGCACTGTGTTGCACCCAGCCTTCGATCGCATTCGTGATGATGATCACGGTCCCAAGTGTCTTTGCCAGCTCGAGCAACTTCACAGCTTCGGATTCCAGGGCCATCAGATCTTTGCCGCCGGGTGGTCGGCTCGACTGTATGGCGGAAGTGCATAGCAGAGTGTCGTCCCAGTCAAAAATTATCAGAGTGCAGTGTTGCTTTGGCCTTTCCTCCCTCGACTGGTATACAGCATCGCGCGGTTGCGGCACCGCGTCTTGCGGTGCCGCGTCTTGCGGTGCCATGCGGCCAGCTATTCCCAGCCTGAACAAGTATTTGGCCTTTGCTGCCCTCTCTCCTTCTGTGACTTCTGATTCTGGCTGAGAAGTAGCCTCGCCAGAACCGGAATCGCCCGAGTCCGAGACACGCGGAGTGTCTCCATCCTCAAAGGTTGAGGCTGTCGGCGACCCTGTTTCCACTGTGAACTCTGGCTTCAACGACATCTGCAAGATGAATGCAGACCAGGGCAATTGCAAGTGCTCGAGATGAAAGTGAACAGGCAGAGAATGGAAGTTGGATTAAGCTAACCATTATGAACACCACGCAAGTGCGTCAGCTTGCCCGTAGAAGTCCTGGAAGATGAATGCTACACCGTAAGCTCCTTCACAGAGTCGGAGAGCTGTCGCCACAACCTGGGCAAGAGAAAGACGAGCGTGACGAAGCCAAGCAACACAGAAAAGCAAGTTTGTGAATCCAAAGGCTACGTCACCTACATCCACAACAAGTCTTCGTTTGGAGCCAAGCTGGTCACAAATTCTCACAACAAACAATGCTGGCCTCCGTGTAGGTTGCGCCTTCCATCTGCTTTTTGAGGTCCTTGACACCAGGCTGCGGAGAAATTCGAGACATGTACACAGGGGCAAGCCAAGGCCAATGAAAGCTTGCTAGGTCTGAGGCACTGAAGTACATAAGGAGCAGGGAAGATTGAAGCAATCAGGAAGCAGCATGACATTCGCACAATGACCACACGCGCATTGTGAACACGACAAAAGGCTGGGATGGGATGGGGGGAAGGGTCAACCAAGTGAACACTACAGAGCGAGTAGGGAGTACGGAGGTTTGGGGCTTGGTGCAACAAAGAGGCATCAGGTTAGTCATGCCACGACCATGCAAGGGTAGCGAACACTACCAGGGAAGAAGGAGGTTGATGCAAACTCCCAGCATGATGTTATCCACACCGTGAGCTGATGAAAGCGGTGAACACTACCACCATGGGTGACTTGGCAGGCTTGGTGCAACCCTCAAGAAGATTTTTTCGCACCATGACCATGCAGGGGTGGAGAACGCTACACAGTTTGATGCAATAACCCACACTGATGTTACAATACTGCTCGTACCAGTATTGCCACACAAGGGTAGTGAGCACTACCGAGGAGGGGAGACCTTCGATGCAACCACCAAAAATGATGCTACCTGCATGATGACCACCCAAGGGTGCAGAACAAAGAGGTTTGATGAAACCACCCAACATGATGTTACTCGAACCCTGGCCACACAAAGGAAGTCAACACTAAAGAAATAGGAGGTCTGATGCAGAAAGCAAACATGATCTCACCCGCACCATGACCACACGAGGGTAGTGAACACTACGCAGGGAAAATAGGGACGCTTCATGCAACAACCAAGTATCCTTACGACACTGGGATCACAAACCGGGAGTGCATTGAACACATTTGAACACGGCAGGAGTAGGGAGGTGTGATGCAGTCATCAGGTACCTTGCTTGCAACATCCGTGCAAGGGAGTAAACAATACAGGAGTAGGGAGGTTTGATTCATGCAACCATCAGGTCGAGTCTCATGCCAGCGTTACCATGCCATGACCGGGGAGTGAAAAATCACAGAAGAGAGGAAGGCTCGATACAATCAGCAAGCATGATGACAGCCACACCATGACCTCACACGGGCAGTGAACACTACAGAGGCAGTAGGAAGGCGTGATGCAACCACCTGCAAGATGTTAATCGCGTCACAACCTTCTAAGGGCATTCGTCAGCACGACAGAATGACTAATGACTAAGGCCTTGGAGGATTGATACAACCATCGGCATGACGACCACGGCCATGGAGAATAATGGGCACCACAAAAAGCACAGGTTTTTTGATGCAACAACATCCAAGCATGATGACATTCGTACCACGACCATGTAAGGATACGGAATACTACAGTGGGAGAGAGGAGGTTCGATGCAACCACCAGCCAGGATGAAATTTGACAGTGACCATGGGATTGTACTGAACACTGCAGAAGAAAGTGGAGAAGTTTTATGTATGCGGTGTTAGTCATACAATGGCTGAGCACATGTCGTGATCAGGGTAGGCGCTGGTAAGTCAAGCAACCCATGAGCAAACATATAAGTTTATGGGCAGAACCACACCCATAGTCATCATTGAAAGAATCAATATTGACCCCGTCCCCATCCTGTCATACAGTCAGCATCTCACACTTTCCAGACCCTGTCTGCCCCCATGCTACTGCCGCTGAAGGAAGAGGCAACTCGAGCCTCTATAGCTATGCTAATTAGCTTTTGCAGTGATCAGTGTCCTGGACCAGATGAGCCAGTAGCTCAGTGTCCGTTTGGCTCACAAATTTGTAGCCTTTGCTTGACAGCCTCAGTCACTGCTGCACATATCCGCCTTGCCAGCCATGAACCCTTCACAGCAGCTCTGTGCGGTGAACTGCTCCCTTAGCGCAGCGTTGTTCTCGATGACTCCGTTGTGCACGACGGCAATGCCTGGTAAGCATTTCAAGTCCCAGTGCACTGCTGAACAATCGCGCCCAGGGGCCACGCTGGACTCGGCAGTCGTGTGTGGATGTGCATTGATGTCAGAAGGTTTGCCGTGAGTTGCCCATCTCGTGTGCCTGCACAAAATGCTGCAAAGCAAGGAAAGACAAGGATGTCCTGACATGTCACGGACTGTCGCGGACCACATGCAATGTGACCAGGGATCCCACGCAATACCCAGCGTACCAGAAACCTGGTTGCCGGCGTGGGCAACATCCTCCTCCAAGTTGGAAACCTGGTCTCCAGGCCGTAATGGATCAGACACTTGAATTCAGTCTAAGGCCTTGCCAACTTTCTTGCGGACTTTCAGTGGAACCCCGTGGATGCCAATGCCAGCGGAGTCGTAGCCGCGGTATCTTAGCAATGAGGTGAGTTTAGATTGTTTAGATTGCATCAGACCTGGGTGTCAGAAACGGTAAGTGGTTCCCGAAATGACGCAAATATTCGGATCCGCACTCAAGGCGCTTGAGAGCTGTTATCAGCAGGGAGGCTGCCTCAACAATGAGGAGAAGTGCTGAGACTTGAAGGGCTTTTTTTACAGCTTAATTTAACCAGTGTAAACCTGCATGGGGGTGGCTGCGGGCATGGCTGGCGGTGAGCGGCAACACCCGCTACAAAATGGGCACTGGCTATCACTGTCACGCGCCTCCTTGTTCCCAATATAAGCGAAGATCCCACACATAGACGATGCCTGAGGAGTTAGCACCCAGACTGCAGGACAAAGAAGAAAGGGCCGCCAAGTTCGCACCTCGCAAGGCCTCCAGGCATTCAGAAGTGAATTCACTCGAGCCGGATGAGATTCCGGGAAGATCTTTCAGCGACGATTTGCAGCTTTGAGGGCCGATCATCTATGATGTCTCCAAAGGATCTCGTGCAAGATTCCTTTTACATCAAGCGTGCAACAGGAATCTTCATGCAGGACAGATGCAACAGGGACTTGCCAAATTGCGCTGGAGGAATGCCAGATTCACTGTCAAGTACGACACGACTGTCACTGTCCGGCAGAGCAGACTCCATGTGAAACAGAATTCAAAAGCGACTGGGCATCACTTCAGCGAATGCCCTCTCTGGCTGTTTTGCCACTCTCATTAACAATGGTGTCAGCTGCACCCTGGCGCGAGCTACAAAAATCAGGCTACCATAGCCAGGCACACCAGCAACAACGAAGTGAGCCTTTTCAATGAAATATTCCGCAATGTCAGCGTAGCCATATGCGAAGAGGAAATGCAAACCGGTGTTGCCTCGCGAGTTTCTTGCTTTGTTTGAAACATACCACATAGAGCTCAGCGTGTCACCCTTGAGATTTTGGGCATCCATGTCGCCACCGTACTTGATGGCCTACGCAGGTCTAGTAATTCACAGGCTCAGAACACAATTTCCCACAACTTCATCCAAGAGTCTGACAAGCTTGCATATCCTTTTGTTGCCGTTTTGGCATGCAACATGAAATAGACGATTACCTCAAGTCGGTGACATCTCTACGCTGCGCACTCCGGCTTGCTGAGTGTCAAGCCAAAGGAGTCTGCATAGTCAGGATTGAAGCCGGCCAACAGCGCAGCCTCAACCTCCTTGTGCCTGCAACATCTTGCTGCAGGGGTCCTTTAAAACAAGAGCTAATACTTCAGCCGGAAACGGTGCAACCGGGATCGGCAAGCTTTACGTTGAAAAGACTAGTACATTATAGCAACATCATAGTTTCGGTGTTGGCGCGTAAAAAACAAAATGGCTGCAGTAGATACCCAAAGCTGGCCTGGACCAAATCACAAATCAAGTGCCGATTCAGCACGGAATGGTTCAAAATCCAGCTGCAAAAGTGCTGCAAAAGTGTCACAGCGGAGGTTTGTCGAATGCAGTTTGCTTGTACTCGAACAAGGACAAGGACAAGGACGAGGACAAGGACGACAACAACGACAACAACAAGAACAACAGCTGCAGGAAAACGGCTTTGTGTAACTTGCCAAATACTTCAGAATGCTCATAACAAGCCCAAGGGCCTCGGCTGGGGTCACATGCTCCAATTGAAGCATACCCCCCAATAACTCGTAGTCACTCTTCACATATGTGCATATCTGCATGTGACCGCATTGTGATAAGCTCTATCTGGGTTGGGGCCCTCATGCACTCATGACTACAATCAAAGTGGCGATGAAATTCTGCTGAGGTCTGTGCATCAAGCTTGCAGGATGATTATAGATCAATGAACAGAAAATGTGCCAACTTGGAGGTTGATGCTTTAGCTTTGGGGATATTGCAGAAGTTTGGGAACACTTGTCATAGGGTGGAGATGCGCAAGGCCGTGACATCTTCCCCAAACTTTCAATGCTGCCTGCGAATTGACTTCACACATCTCAGGGCCTGCGACAGGTTTCAGAACCTGAGGGTAACCAGATGGTCACACGCACACGCCAAAAAAAAGCAGAGTAACGATTGTCAAAACAAAACGCATATCAAAATCCTTCAACAAGGCACGCAAGCTCTGTTCATTCTTTCCGTTGCTCATCTACGAAGTCAAACGAGAGGTCTGTTGTCCGCTCCGCGTCTTCACACGAACTTCCCACTATGTGTGGAATGTGCAAATGGCACGGATCTCTTCAAGGATATGTGTAAACCAAGTTTCATATGGAGCATCTCACACATTTCAGATTCCACATTGCTACGGTCTCACCCTGTTTTGTCATATGCTGGCGTCCAACACTTCGGCGCAGGAAGATGTGTTCCACAGGTACTTGCACGGATTTTGGCCCCTGATCTCCGAAAGCACTTGAAGGTCAAGCACAAATGTTGAGCACAAGCGCGATCTGTGCCTGTAATTCATGGCATCCAAAAGAGGTATCTATAAACGCGAGTATCCACGCGCCTACACAAGCTCATGAAACTTTACTCGTTGCACTTCGAGGCTGCGGGGCAAACGTTGGGAGTCAGTTCTCCCCCTCACGTCATCCCAGGTTGTTGGAACCATCAGATGCAGATAACTCCAGCATGTTTTCAACATAACTTAGCTGTGAGTTTGTTCCATGCCCTTGACTAAAACACCGCCTAGATTTAAAAGAAACCAACTTTGGCAGAATCAGGGTTCCAAGAGCACTTTAAAGGCAGAGGCAGCTTTGGGCCCAAAACCCCGTAGATTTTAAAGAAGCTAATTTTCATTCAGATCGTACAAAGTGCAAGGCTTAAGGTTTAGATTGAAAACTAAAGCGCAAATTTCGCACCCTCACATCCTAAATCAGGAAGGGGTCTGTTCTTAAATGAGAATAGAAAAGCTCATTCTGAGACCTGATTTGCTTACTAAATTTCATTAGGAATCAAAGGCTCAATCTTGCTTTATGAGCTACCCCTTACAGACCGTGCGTGGCAGGGTCTTTCTCTACATTCATGGAAAACCCTCTAGAAGATTCTAGAGGAATAGCTGCTTGTTTCAGGGTCGGTAGTTTTGCGACCTTTTTGTAAAGATCTTTTTACTTTCCTGCTCTTAAACAAGGAAAAGGAAAGCTGATTCGGAAAACTGACTTGCTTGGAAAGGCTGCTCTTACCGATTCACTTGTAGTTAGAATGATTTACTCTTCCTTTTCGAATCTCGGATCTCTAGAACAGTGTGTGTGTGCGGGGACACACCTACAAATCAAGAGCACGGATTAAACTGGACGTCTTGAGCACAAAAAACACTATAGCCTTCTCACCGCGGCGGCTACCATCAGAAGAAGCAAAAGCATTGCCTCAAACCCAACACTGGCCATCGCAAATGCCCACCAGGAAGCAGAGCTGGCTCAGCTTCACGACCATCAGCAAATGCAATGCCGGCTTTTCGCGGATGTCGCACACGAATGGCGAGGCATTGCTTCAGCCACGTGATCGAAAGGGGATGCTTTCAGGGGCTTGGCACAGTTGGGGCTGTACTATTTTCCGTCTCATTCAGGTGCTCATTTCACGACCGAGGCGGAATGCCTTGTTATGAATAGGGAATGTCCTGTCATGACCACATCGAAGGAGAAATACAAGACTTGGGCCTAGAGTGTTGGAGCAGGCCGTACGGTATGATTCATGCCCTTTCCGTCGGCCCTCTAACACAACGCCCATTGTCCTTTGGCCGCTGTTGCTACGGCAGCCAGCCAAACTCTGCCAAGGAGGTAAGCCGGGCTGCGACTCTCGTTGGAGGGATGAACGGGAGTGATGGGTAAAACCTCAGGTCCGGGGCAAACATGAGGGCTGGATCTAAGACCCGCAATATGCGCGTGGTTTGTGAGAAAATCACGCTTCATCTAGGGTTCGCCCGGAACGTTGCCCGGAGTTACTGGTTCGCAAGGCTTTACCGACCTGGCGGACGGGGGCGTGTCCGGAATTGCAAAGTGGAGGAAATGATGGCGGCACCCGCATTTGCGCCGTGCGTTGTTGTGGCTGTTCACGTGTGTTTATGGTTCGTTCAAGCCAAGGAAGGCGACTTGATCGTAGGGGCTGTACGCATTCTAAAACTTAGACGATAACAGGAAAGCACTGAAATTTACACAACTCGGAACATTTTTGCCGGAAAACAATACTACTTGTCTACTGTACCACAGTAGTTTTTCTGGCTGTCACCTGCAAATCAACCGTAATCATTTGGCTGCTTGAACAAAGAGCAACCTCATGGAAGCTCGGAGGAACTGTATGCTCTGGCAACACGAACCTTGTTATCTTGGCCAGCATGGAACCGAATGGTCTGGTAACACGATCGTTTTCGAACATCATTTTGTCCAACATGCATGCTTGCGGGAACCTTGAGCTCTGGCAACACGAATGTCAGTATCTTTGCCAGCATGGATGCTCGGGGAACCGTATGCTCTGGCAACACGAGCGCTATTGTCTTGGATGCTCCCGGAAACTGAATGCCCTGGCAGCACAAGTGCTCTTATCTTGACCAGCATGGATGCTGGGGGGAACCGTATGCAATACTATCTGGGCCCCCATGGATGCGTAGGGGACGACGTACCACGCACGCTATCATCTTGGCCATCATGGATGCTCCGGGAACTATATGCTTTAGTAACATGAGCGCATGTCAAAACCGACGTTTTCCGGGCGGACCCTTCCTCTAGTCTAAACTGTCCACCTGAAACCAAGCAAGCTGGAGGGTTCACGTTTTGCCCAACACTTTTTCATAGCTGTCTTGCTCTAATGGGTGTGCACTGCCTTGAGCAGCATGAGCATCCCTGCTTGCCATGTGAGGGCTCCAAAGGCTTGCCTCCCGTGTCTGGCAGCACTGTATACCTGCGCGGCTCCGTGCGCATCTCTGTCTGTGGCAGGGTAATATGCACTGCGCCTGCCGCGGATCTAAGGACACCTCTTCCTCGGCATGCTCCCTCACATCACCTGACGATGGTTGCAGGTCACAGCTTCGGTACCGGCCGTACGGTGCCTGGTGGAGGTGGAGGCATCTTGCTTGGCTCAGCTGAAGGTGGAACAAACCTCTGCTGCATTCGGCTGCAGAGTCCCTGAGCAAGAAAGAGGCCAAGGCTGAAACGCATCAAAGGCGGCAGCCATCACAGCTTTCTGCTTTCGTCGATCAGCCTGTAATCCAAGCTGCGCCCAACATGCTGGACCCTGGAAGAGATGATGGGGTCCTCTCTGCGCTGAAGTGGCTGGCTGTGTGTAAAACCTCATGCAGACTTGCTGGCTGGCTACCATCCGCTACTGTACTAGTACACAAACAGGACATGTCCAGGACATCCGCACCACAAAATGGGCTATCAAGTTGCACTTGGACCCCGCACCATGCTCGTACAAGCTCCCAAGCTCAGTGACCCGAGCCGATCCAGAAACCTTGCAGAAACAGATCTCATCCCATTGCAACCTGCAAACATCTGCAAGCCAGGCCACTGAAGAACTGGCATCATACAGCGAAGCAAAATCGGAAGAGCGCGCGGAGGGTTCCGGGGTGTAGAAAGTGGATGTCCTCTGCTCAAAGGTGCGCAGTGCTGGACAAGCGGGCATCTAGGCAATGGATCTGCTGAGCACATTATCCTGGCACTGAGGTCTGGAAATGCACCAGAGGGATATGCCCCACAAACGGCAGCCTTTCAGTTCAGAGGTGAACGCCAGAGTCAATCCACATAGGCCATCAGGAGCAAACTTTAATAGCAGCAGGCAACACTGACAGAGGTTGTTGTTTAAGTCCGAAGCTCTACAGCTTTTTGCTTTGTCACGTCTGCACATGCATACCGACGCAAGAGTGCCAGACGTGCCTCAGCGGGCGTTGGTGTGTACATCCGTCCCGAGCCTGTACTCCTCTGTAAGCACGAGGCTCTCAAACACAGAACTGGATTCAAAATCCACCGGTTGTGCCACATCAATTGCTTATCGTGCTGCGCTCCTCCCAGATAAATTGCTTCGTGAACTCCGTGCCGATCCAACTGCGGACCCTGCCAGTAAACCCTATTCTCTTCTACAACTAGTTGTAACTAGCTGCGATCTGTATGACTGCAACTCACTCCATTGGCTGCCAGAATTAAAATATGACGGGCCTGGTGGTCCAAACAACAGTCCGTGCTAACGTAAACATGCCCGAGAGATGCCAAATTTGATGGCACGGCCAGTAGTTCAGGACTTTGGAAGGAATGCAACAAGCAGGATCTGACCGTTCAGTTGTGCATGAACCTTGGCTCAATTTGCTATCACTCTTGGGGCTTCTGCGGCGCCATTTTCTGTGCAGAGATGTTGTGTCACTCAAACATCCACTTCGATTTTTCTCGAGGCTCGGGAACGTGTCTGGGCTGCATCCGAGCTTGCCTATTTGGGGTCCCAAACTGCAGCCAATGCGCAGAGGACTGTTGCAAGTCCTGATTTTGCCTGGATTTGACGAGCGGCCAAAACGTTCACATGTGAGGCCATCAGGCTGCTACAGCCAAGCATGGTGCGCTGAAGTTGGTTCTTGGATGGCGAGACCTTACTCTCTGTGGCATTGTCGCAGCCAACCACTGGCACATGCTTCTCTTGGAAGCAGGACGCTTCTTGATTGCAAGCTTTCATGCAAGCCTTTCCTGTTAGGAAGAGAAATATGGCATGGATGCTCTGGGAAACCGCACGCAGGCGGGGTGGATGTTACTATTCCTGACATGGATGCTCTGAGAAACGGGACGCAGGCGGGGTGTATGTTATCATGGTTATAGCATGGATGCAAGCATATGCTCGCCCAAAAACGTGATGCGTGGTGGCACCGGTGGTTTTGAGGCCTCGGAGGCATTTGTGCCACGCAGGCCAGTCCCGACGGGCTCAGGCGGGAACACCTTTTTGCACCTCTAAGTCTGCAGGGAGTTCCGCACGAAAGGAGCAGAACCTCTTGTGCGCCGGTGTTGCCCTTGCTTGGTCTCCACTTCTTTGCCGATGTTTAGGTGTTTCCGAAGAAGGGTTTCATTGCAGTCGACGACAATAGTTTTTGCATATGTCCTGCGCCAACGCGGCAGTCAACCACGAATTTCTCAGGCTTTCCAGATATTGGTGGCTTTAGATTCAGTCCTTCCAAGGCCTCAGGCATTTTAGCGTTTAAGGCGTTCGGGCTTTAGGCGTTAACCTTGTACGTTGCAAATGCTCAAGGCATTGTTTGGCGCTTACCTGCTTAGGGTCATATATAAGGGACTTGGGTTTCACACGTGTAGGATCTCGGATGATCTAGAGGTGCTGGGGATGATCCAGAGGTGCTGGGGGCCTTTGGTGCATCAAAAGCTTCAGATCTTTCAAGCTTGCGCCGTTCCTGTTTTTAGGGCTTGGCGTTGGACCTGAGTCTCGCTAACGCTTGGGGCTTCTGGATGTCTCAAGATTTAGGGCTTAAAGGCCTGCATGGAATTCGGGGTTTGGGGATTTCATGCTTTGGAAGCTTTGCAGTTGAAGGGGCTGACTTGCTCCAAGGTTTGGGGTTTGGGTGCTGTGGGGTCTCCACACCTCAGCGCTTAAGGGCTCAAGGGTCTTGGTTGTTACTTAGGCTTAGGTTCATGAAGCTTGTCTTCATAGCTGTTGGCGCGTGAACACTAAAGCCTCAACCTGCAACATACCCGCAGCCCGGACCTTAAACCCTAACCTGGAGTCTCATTACAAACTAGTGACCAAAACTGAAACTCGCTGCAGACTTCAACCCCCGAACTGCAATCCTAGAAGCCTACCATGAAGGCCATTAATTGCACCCCGGCTAACTGTACAAAGCCTGCACCCCCTCAACCCGAACTATCCCCAAGAGGAGCCACATAGGACCTTTTCAATTGCCCCCAAAAAAAATTGAGCCGCTCGAGTCGCAAGTGATTACTTTTGGGATATACTGGCAACTGATCCCTTTTTGGAATTGCATCCTACACAGCGCAAATTCCAAAGCTTCATCGGAGCAATCTGACACCTCTACACTCCACCCTGAACTAATACACCTCATCAGAGCGCTCTCTACATCCTCCTACAAAAAGGTAGAAGAAAGCATTCGAGAAAACTCTTCGCTGTGTGATGTCAGGAGCCTGAAGATCTCTGAGCAACAAGCGTAAAATGCGGGAGCAGTCACAAAGCGTCCTCCGTTTATACCAAGCTGTCCAGATTGGGATACAGCCCATGAAATCGAGTGAACTGCCGCCAAGAAGAAGCAGCACCAGCCACACGTTTGTAATTAAAGAACATGCTTACCCCAATGCCGCTGAAATAGCATTGTGCGGTGCATGGCTGTCCGATGCATCACATTGTCGCACATCCAATGCCGAACCACAGGCCGGCGAGGGGGCGCACATTGCACCCGAACGCCGTGGATCATCTGCTCCGCATCGAAAACTGATTCCAAACAAAAAGCTTCGTGAGCGACGGGCCGTACGCCATATACATGTTAGTCCGCACATGCACGCAGTGCTATCTTTTTTGCTGCTGCAAATGCCACCGAAATCGCGTTGTGCGGTGTACATAAGCGGTCACACCCATTTGGTGGGGTTCAGCGCCCTTGCTGCGGATCCATCACCGAACCACAAGCCAGCGCGGGGTGGAACATTGCACTTTTCCTCCGTCAGCCACCCGAGCCGCATGACGGCCGATCAGCTGCACGGTCTGGTCTGTGAGGTCGCCGTAGGCGGTCTCTAACCCACAGAGCAAGGGCCATGCGCATGCGAGCCGCGACGTCGTAGGCAACGAAGGAGGGGGCAAGAAGTTTCTGAAGCGACGAGAGGCAGATAGCGGTGGCACGTACATGCGAGTCCATACATCATGTTACATACTTGTTTTTACCCTTGTCATCAGTGCTGCCAGCCTCTAGCCGCACGTCATCAAGTTCGAAACTATCAGCATCATGGTGAAGATGCTGATGTTGGTGGTGGGTGGTGATGATGATTATGACAGCGTCAGACATGTGCCGTGTTACACCTGCCGTGTCCCCAGATTCTGAAACGTACAAACGGATTTCGGAAAGAGTGAGAATTCCAAATTTTGCAGCGGTTGCCGTGAACAGACTGGGGAGGTGCACCAGCACCCTCCTCGCACAGCCCCCCCCTCCCCACAAGCCTTGACCTCCCAGCATGTTTTGAGAGCCCTCAAACTTTCAAACTACGTCTTGGAGGATTTGGAAGGTGTTCAAATTACATGGAATTACAAAAGGGAGCACTCCTGGAGGCCTGCTGACAACTGAGGAACCTGCGCCTGCAGAATGCACCGAGAAGCGCTGAAATGGCCAAAGCGAACAGCACACTGTGACAACTGGGGAACCTGCAACCCGCATTTTGAAATACCCAGCAAAGTTGGGTGGTGCCTACATGAGAGAATGGAAGCATGCTTAGGGGCCTGACCACTGGGAGCCAGCAGAATGCATTTTGTAGATCCCGCAAGATGCATCTTGGGCGATTTGGGGAGGTGTGCTCAGCATAACCACGATGCACCTTGACATTCGTGATTAAGATTCTCAATTGTTGCTTGGTGCCTCATGATATCTTGCTTGCTGAGTACTATGACAAGATGTGCCTTCCGCTTGGCCTTCCGCCACCTTCCGCGCGACGCAGTTTTTGCTATGTTTTAATACGAGCTATCTAAAAAACCGCCCAAGATGAAACCAAGAGGATGGGATTACAAACAATCCGCATGCGTTTGTGTAATATTCTCCTTCCAGAACATTCTACTATGATCTACTGAAATTTCTAAATCTACTCGCAGCACAGGAAGGGGGGGGTCGTCAGGTGGGTGGCGGGGGTTGGCGCGGAGGTGATCCTCTTCAGCCATCGCGCAAAAAAGAACTATCCAGAAAGGGGCCTGAAATGTGTGCATCATCGAGCCACCCGCAATCTATGACCTCTGCCACTTCAAAATGGAACTCAACCCAAATAGCACAATTGTTTGCCAGTCCATGCGCGTTAAGATCTTGATCAGAAGCTGGTGCTAGGCATGTATGGCACATCCGGGATGCCCAAGGATTTTTCGCGGTTGGCTGTCGCCACACTTCTGGCTGCTGCGACAACGGAGACTTTTGCAGCTGCGTCTAAACTCACCGGAACCATATCAACAGGGTCATCCATTCATGCTGAAAACTTCCTCACCTGGTGCAGGTGACAAGGGTGGTGTCGGCGGATTGCGCGGAGTGCTAGCATTGGAGCCTGGCACCATGCGAAATACCGAATCATGATATTCTTGTACACGGGCCTGCCCTGGAGTTGCGAGCAGAGGCTGCGGGAGAAACGCCCTGAGGCGTCAGCGCCTGCATTTTGGGCGAGCATGGCTTTCAAACTCATTGCTGACCAGGCGTGCAACCAATTGCAATCAAGCTCCCCAATGGTGCTAAGTTTCTGTATGCCACACTGCACCATCCATACCTTAGGATGCCTCCAAGCCTCCGCCCCCACTTCTCCTGTCTTTGTGACAATTGAAGAATTAGGCAAGCCTTCGCATTTGCTCTCCAACAATATTCCACAGCAGAGCACACGATGCTTGCGAACTCGGTGGAAGTATCAACATCTTTGGCTGAAAAATTGATCAGAAACCGCAAGCAGCTTAAGCTGCGGGAGCGCACTAATCCGGCACCTGCTGCAAAGCTGGAGGTGCTCCGAATACTTGCTAGCGCCACTGGGCTTAAGCCATGGGCAGCCAACAAAGGAGTGCTACCCCTCGACCTCCCTCATTCCAACAAAAGCAGACTCGGGCTGAAGTGATGGCGGCATGACTTAGCGATCAGAACTCAATCCCGGGCATTGCATGCGGCCTCCTTCCAAGCAAAGGGATCCTTGATGCTGGATCCAACCTTGACAGCAGATCTGTTGCAAACAACTTTACC